CTAGAGGCTTTTCGAAAAAACGCATTTGCCCTGGGGAATTTAACCAGAGACGATTCCTGCCCCTGAACCTGCCCCTGATCTCTGTCTGACTCCTGGGATGAAGTGGTTAGCAGATAGGGTCCAGGTCTGTCCCCTCCTGTGTGTGAGTGTGTGTGTGTGTGTGTGTGTGTGTGTGTGTGTGTACACACACCCATGGGCAGAGAATTGTGATTCAATGGCCTCAACCACCGCCTTTCATTTTTTCTCATGCTCTTGAGATCTCCAGCTGAGATTGCTATGGATTGACAGTTTTGTGAAGTCTGAGGATAAATCTGCCAATTCTCCTCATTTATACCACTTCCCCACACACCCCTGACTCCATATCTGCGTGGGTGTTACACAGCAGCTATCAACGGGAGTTCTGAAGACCTGTGGGGTCTTTGCCTTACGCATTAGTTTTGTCTTCACAAAAAAATGAAACTTGACAGGGAATCGTGCTGTCCTTAAAAACACAAGATCACGGAGGAAATAGACTGATATGGACAATAATCAATAACAATGTACCTCATGATATAAAGATCCAAAGGAAATTAAATAAAAATTACTTGCATCTCATGCCAAGAGGGAAACACCAGAATCAAATGTTCTGTGAGACTGAAGACACCCCCTCATCCAAAAATGCAAAGCAAATCCAATAAAAGAGCCAGATTACTGTTTTTAAATTTTATTTTCCATTGACTCCTCACAACCTTTCTCCTACATCTTCGAACAATTTGATTGGATCGAACTTATTTGTAGTTCTTTATGTGTCCTTGATGCTAATTCTTTGTTATGAGGGGATTAAACAGCTTTGAGAAGTAGAGATGTTTCCACTCTAACCAGTTTGGTCAAGTGAACAGAGCATCAGCCTGTGGACTGAAGGGTCCTGGTTCAATTCTGGTCAAGAGCTGCTGGGGGTTCTTGTCCCAGCCGAACAAAGGGTTCAGCATTCTGGAGAAAGGAGCTGATTCATAGATTCAGGAGTCCAAAAAAGAAAGATAATTTTGAAAGGCATTGGGGGGTCAGAGGAGCTTCAGCTAAAAGCAGCTAAAGACTACCCCTTGTCTAAGGACCTCCATGCTACTTATTAACACAATTTGTCTTAAGGCCATGTGGAGACATACTTCAAAGGGAACAGTTTCAAGGGGTACTTTACAGAAGCATTCTCAGTTTGGGGAATAACCTACAGCTGTTCAGGTGTTTGGCCAACAGGAGGCATTAAAATGCCCTGAGCTGTCTGGAAGCAAATGATTATCCTATTCAGGTTTGGGGAAATGTCCTACTGAGGTTTTGGGGTGATGCTTTTTAGCCATCTCAGGTGATTCAGCCCTGCTGACATGCTGGAATTGGCTTCTAGCAAAGGGCATGTACCTTGGATGTGGGCTCAATCCCCAGTGGGAAGAAGCTGATCAATGTTTCCCTCTCAAGAATGTTTCTAACTCTCCATCTCCCTTCCTCTCTGTACAAATGAATAAAATATATTTTTTTTAAGTAGAGATGTTTCAGCCACTGAAGGAGGTGAGTCTGCAGGGACAGAATCACAGGAAAGTCACTGCGGGGTGTGGAGTGTGCGGTAATAGCAGATAAATCCTCATACTTTAGGATCCATATGATTTTTTTTATTCCATGACATGACAAAGATGGTAAATTCTGTTTCCATAGTAATTTATCAGAACCACTGGTTTTATTTACAGCATTATTCGAACAAACAATAATCACCTAAAATACTGTGTGTTATAAAACAAAATCGCTAAGTAATTGTATTGTTATAGTATTCTTTCATAGAGAGATATAACTTTAAATAGCATTACATAGTTTAAAACTTTCTAAAGGTAACCATCATAAATATTATTTTCCCTTTAAAAGGTGGTGAGGCCCTGGCTGCTTTGACTCAGTGTTTAGAGCATCAGCCCAAAGGTTGGTCAAGTATTGTCTATCACTCCTTTCACGCTACACAGCAGAGCTGAGTGGTTGCAACAGACTTCTGATCTGCAAAGCCTGAAGTCTCACACGGTATCTTGTTCATTTGCTACAACGAGGTCCTGATGCAGAGATCTATCTCATTTTCCACAACCCAAGGGGAGACTGGAAAGTGTTCTCTCTGGCAAGATTTCTTTTTCAAGCAGTTGGAGAGCTAACTGCAAGAATTATAACAATCAAGAGAAAATGGAACCAAATGTTGAAAACTGTGCAGAGTTACCAAACTTCTCATGGAATTTAGGACATGAACATAGCATCTTCTGAATCCTCTTGACCTCCTGCAGGTCTCTGCATTTGCTGTAAGGACTGCAGCTCCTTGGGGCCAACAGGTGCACTGCTGGAGGTGGAAAGGTAGCCAAGCAGCAGGGACACATGTTGAACTAGACCACACATCCAGGAGCTTTTGAGCAGCATCTTTGCCACCTGAAGAGAAACACATGTTTGTCTCAGGGGCTGAGAAAATCCTGGGTCAGTTCCCCTGGGGCTACCGACCCCAAACCCTTCCAGCTCAGAGCCCCACCCTCCTGAGAGTCATGTATTTCCCATCAGCTCTCACTACCACCCTAGGCCCTACAGCTTGTACCCACATCCTACCACCTTTATCACAAGGCAAGTCAGATCCAAAGGCAGGTGGGGCTCAGGACTCAAGGTGCAAATGAACTGTGATGCTCCCTCTACTGAAATTTTGATTTTAAAAAAGCCCAGAAGAACCTTGTCCAGAGAGAGAGGCCTGCATCCTGGTTTCTCTACCAGGGAATGGTTGTGGTTGTGGAAAGATCCTTGGTTGGCCTGCTCTCCTCACCCTGGTAACAGCTCACAGCTCTGAGAGTGAGTGTCCCTGTCCTGCCCCATGGATTCGTGCTCCAGTCACCAGTCAGCATCCAACTCCACCAGCAGCTAAGCCACACCTATCCCTGGAGTCACCTGAGCTCAAGGAAGGAGGCACACAGTGACTCAGGATTTGGAGTGTGGAGGAAGCTGGCTGCCAGGTGATTGAATCAGGGCTTACCCAGGATTCTCAGGGGGTTCCAGAAAAAAAATGGCTTCCATCTAACTTGTCCTGCAGTCTGTACTGCTGGCCATCTGTCTTACCTGATGTCTCCAAAGCCACTTTCTGGGAAGGCAGATGCAAACTCCAACATTTAGAATTGGTTCTGCAAGGCCTTCCACCTCTCCTCCTGGTATCAGACCCAGACCCCTCTCCTCTTAGCCTCCTGGATACTCCCTTCCCCTGGACACATCACATGGAGCCGCCATGCTGCTCTCACCTGAACGGGAGTACTTCCCATGTCCTGTGTGCCTGCTGTTCCCACACCACACACACCGGCCCCAAACACACTCTCCCAAACAAGGGATGTGGATGGGGACTGAAATCACTAATCCTCTTTAGCATCTACAGGGGTTAAGCCTTGGTATGGCACCCTCCTTTTCCCACTGCTTTGACAGAAGATAGAACTCAGAGCTGAGCTTGTCCAAGTTATTGCTATCAAGCTATATTACATGTTAGTTCCCTAGACTAATTTTCACAAAGAGAAGGTTCAGTGAGGGGGCAAGGACAGGCTGAAAATTCACCTTTCCCTGTCCTCATTCCAGGCCACCTGCCTCTCATTTTCCACTCAATTCTGCCCTCTTTACCTTTTCCTATAATGTAATAGATGATTCAAATGATGATCAGGGTGATGAAAATCATAAATACATTGAGAATGATGGCCCAGGTCTCCAACCCATCTGTGGTCTTGGTTGGTGAAACTGAGGCTATGGTAGGTGTGGTTGTGACTTGGGCCGGGACTGTGGTCAGTGCAGCTGCAATAAAAACACAAGAGGGACATTCAATGCAGTACTCAATCCTGAGGAGACAGCTCCTGATGTCCCAGGTAATGCTATGATACAGACAGTTTCTACCCTCTACGTGTGACAGCCACTGTGACATATCTGGGGTTGGAACAAGGAATGGAGATGGGCCCTGTCTCAAAGGGACTCAGAGAGTTAATGGGGGAAGCAAGGGTTAAAATATACCAGGCACTCCTGCTGTGAGAGAAGAGGACACTCATGAGGAAGGTGGGAGAGAAGTCTTCCCAGGAGCTGATTTGAGGTCATATTGAAGGATTTCCAGAAATAGGCCAGGTGAGATGAAGAAGAAAAGTGATGCCGAGAAGAGGGAACAATAAAGAACAGGTCTGAAAACCGACTCCTGAGGAGATGAGAAAGGAAAGGAGAGACAGTAGAACACACCAATTGCCATTACTCTCCCAAGAACTCACTGCAGACTAGCCACTTTTCAAACACACTCACACCCATTCAAGCACATGCTTACAGGCAGAAACACACATACACACCACACACACACACACACACACACACACTCACACACACACACAGTGCCACATGCACATGCACACAAATGTAGGTCTAGCTTATCACAAGAAAACAACACCTTCCCTGTCTCCCCTGTTACCTGTTGTCTCCAGCTCTGTCTTCCTGTGTACCCAGCATTTATACAATTCCTTGCAGTCTCCCTTTAAGGTCATTTTGAAGTCTTTGCTCAAATCCTCATATTTCTCCCACTTCTTCTTCAGCCGTTCACCTTCGGAATCATCCGCTTTATATTCTTCAGTCTCAGAGTGAAAGGTAAGGAGCCTCTGTCCACCCAAGGAAAACTCCAAGGACCCACTGGTGCTTCCATGGCACGTCATCCTGACCTGCAGGGTGAGAGGAGCTGCCCCACAGCCCCATGGGAAAGACATCAGCCTCTGGTCTTGACAAATGTTTTGTCCCACCCGGTGTCCACCTTTTCTGAACACTTCTAACCCTGCCCTGCTCTCCCTTGCCTTCCTGCTGGGCTATGTGGGAAGGCCCACCATCCAGTTTTCTTTTTAAATGAACACAATCCATACAGCTAGCCCCTCAGTCTGCTCGCGTCTACCCTTGAATTTTTCAAACTTACCTCCATCTGCATATTTCTCACGTTTAATGTCAGCCAGTAATGGTTTTAATTCATTTCCCATGTTGCTCAGGGTTCCTAACTCTCCTTTACAGGAATGAATGGCCTTTCCCTCCTCTCTTGGGAGATTAATATATATGACCTTATTGTTGCCACAGTCATAGAAAAGATACTTCTCTTCATCCATCTTTTCTTGGACCATACACCATGGTTGTTTATCAGAAGAAATGTTGAAATCATAGTGAAGAGAGTGAGAATCTGTGAAGGAAAAATGCTGCTGAGGACTAGGGTTGGAAGGAAAAGACCCAAAACACCACTCCCCCATCTCTGTGACAGCAAGACAATCCCTGTGATGGCCGGGCTGGCAGAGCAAGGCCTGACCCTGTCCAATGCCTCCCTTCTCCAGGGGAAGGTTGGGGCCCCTCCCTTGCTTGAGGAGGACCAGGAGGCCTCTGCCTGCCAGGAAACCACATCTCCAGATAAGTCCTCAGGCAACAGGGATAAAGTGCCACTTGGCAGAGGAAGAGATTAGGCTCAGTCCGGGATAAAAGGGTATAGGAAGCACTGGTTTGGGGGCCCTCAACAGCTGGGTGATGGACCTGGGTGGGCTGGTGAGGGCAGCAGTGGCTCCCAGGGGGCAGGAGGGGCACAGGCGGGCCGTGGCAGAGGGCGGGAGGTAGAACCTGCAGAGCTGGGCTAGGGGGAGACCAGGCCAGTGACCTCAGCAGGGGTCCCAGTTCCCCAGAAGCATGACTGGAGCGGCGGGACAGCGCACTGGGAACCCCAGCTGCCTTCCCCAAGGCAATGCTGCCTGGAAGCCTAGGTGGGAGGGGAATGAGCCCCTGGAGGGCACTGAGGAGGGGAGGTTCTGGACCTGCTATGGGCCCTGCCCGCGAGTTTAAAGTCCCAGCTTCCTCTTTCCCGGGCCTCTCACCTGTCCTTTCTCTGCGCCCCACCCCCCCATCAACGCCCTCCCGCCCTCCCCCTGCCCCCCATCAGCGCCCTCCCGCCCTCCCCCCCTGCCCCCATCAGCGCCCCCCCCCCCCGCCCGCCGCTCAGATTCCTGGGGACTCACCTCTGCGCCCCGAGGCGCCAGGCGCCGCGCACACACAGACGAGCAGCACCGCGAGCGGCGGGAGGAAGAGGCTGAACTTGGGGCCCGGGGTCCTCGCCATGGGAGCAGCCGCGGTCGGTGCGCTCAGCTCCGGGCAGGCGGGCAGGCGGACAGGCGGACTGGTGGGCAGGCGGGCGGGCGGGCGGACGGGCGGACAGGCGGCCAGGCGGGCAGGCGGACAGGCGGGCAGGCGGGCAGGCGGACAGGCGGACAGGCAGGAGGAGGCCGGGCAGCTCCGTGGACGAGCGCTGCGCGCGGCGGGCACACCGGCGGCTCCGAGCGCCGGCGGCTCCGAGCGCCGGCGGCCGGGGAAAGGCGCAGAGGCCGGACAAACGTGTGGCTGGCCGCGGCCGTTCCTCCCCGCCCTTGTCCGGGGTGGTCGCTTTCGTGACCAGGAGAGGTGGGCGGGAGGCGCCCGGCGAATGAGCGCAGGTGGAAAGCTAGTCCTTTGGTCTCCTGCGGTCTCCTCTCCCTCTGAGCTGCGCAGCCGGGCCCCGCCCGCCGCTTTCCTCTGAGCTGTGAGTCACACTCTAGGCAGCAGCTGGTGGTTGCAACAGACCCAGCTCAAGCTCAGTCCACTTTTTTTTTTTTTAATCACATCCTTCCCGCCACCAGCAGCCAAGGAGAGGGGGAGATGGCTCCTTAATACCCAGCCTGACTGATGACACCCACAAAACCACCCTCACCCCACACTCTCCCAACACACTTTCCCACCCCAGGACCCTCCTTCCCTCCACCAGCCCACAAGTGGGGAAGCAGGAACAGAGGTGCTATCAGGACAGGGGTGCTGGGCAGGGTCTCCACCCGCGGGCACCAACACACAACCCTTGCCCCTTCCCTGCTCCCACCTTGGCCACCACAGCAAACCCTCCACCATAACCATTTCTCCTCACCTAGGACTTCAAAGCCAACTTCAGAGGGATTACAGGTTCTGGCGGGCAGGCGGACAGGCGGACAGGCGGACAGGCGGGCAGGCGGGCAGGCGGACAGGCGGACGGGCGGACAGGCAGACGGGCGGGCGGCTCCGAGCGGCAGCGGCGGGGGAAGGGGGCAGAGGCCGAGAAAGGGGCAGAGGCCGGACAAACGTGTCCCAGGCCGCGGCCGTTCTTCCCCGCCCCAGCAACCCCAGGCACTCATTTCAGACCCTGCTCTCACCAGCCACTGCTCTTCCCCCAGCTCAGCCGGTTTTACCACCCAGTTCTTTGGGGTCCCACACCCATATTTTCCACCCACTGAGGAGGTACAGCATATGACGGTCATGGATTTAAGCTCATGTGTGCGGGTGGTTTCTATACACTGACAGATAGTGAATGTGACCATCTTCGCAGAACACATAGTGCCTGTCTCTGTAAACACCACACGCCTCCACCTTCATGGTGCAAAAGCAGCCAGAGACCCCATGTGAAGGAATGGGGGACCGGATATGGCCACTGCACTACTCTGTGGACCCAACATTTGGAGTCACACACATGGGTGTCCCAGCCAATTTGTCCTCAGTGTGGTGAAGAGCCAGAACTGATCACTGTCCAGCCTGTAGCTTCTGGCTGGAGTGAGAGTGAGAGAATGTGGATCATGCAGCAATAGGCAACTGCTCCACTTCCTTCTGTGAACCTGCAGGAAGTCAGGGTGGTGCTGGTGCACATTTCTGGTATGGAGATCAGGGACATTTCTCTTTATATCTTACAATAGAGGACCCACTGCACGAAATTCATGCATGGGTTGGGGGTTGGGAGGGAATCCCTCAGCCAGGCCTGTGCTCTCTCACAATCAGGGACCCTTTGGGTGGTATCTGACAGCAGATTTAGACCCGTTGGCCCATTCCTGCCTAAAATGGCAGTTAGACACCATTTTGCAATCCAGGATCTCTGGTTCCTAACTGCTCACCTGCCTGCCTGCCTGACTGATCACCCCTAACCACTCTGCCTGCCCTCCTCATCACGCATAACCACAGGTGGCTGTGGCTTCCTCCCTCTCAGCCTTGGGCAAGCAGGTGGCAGGCTGCCTGGGCCTGGTCCCGCCCTCACAGCCACAGTGGCTCCTTGGATCCTGCAGCCTCAGTCCTCCCAGAGGAGCTGGAAGGTCCAGAAGGAAGGATGGAGGTCCCAAATGACTTCTGCTCTATCTTTTCAGCATATTACCCTTCTATCATATGGGATGTTCCCTGTGACCCTGCTCACTTCTATTCTCTGAATGCTGGGCCTAGCTGACCCAATGACACTCACAATGGACAACTCTGAGGCTCCAGAGCCTCGTCTCTCCTGGTCCCAGTACTTCGCCAGGAGCCTCTATAAATGCTGTGGGTCTCCTTGTGCCAAGAGACATAGCCTTGCCTCAGAACATTAGGCTCTGTGTTGTGATTCTCGAGTAGAAAGGCCATGAACTCCCCTCAGCACCTTGTCCTACTACAGATACCTCTCAGGTCATACATTTGCTGGCTTTTATGGACCAAGAGTGATATCCAGCCACATTCACCCAATCAGGTATTGTCTATCACTGCTTTCACTCTACAGCAGAGCTGAGGAGTTGCAACAGATATCTGATCGGCAAAGCCTGAAGTCTCACACGGTATGTTGTTCATTTGCTACAACAAGATCCTGATGCAGAAATCTATCTCATTTTCCACAAACAAAGGAGAGACTGGGAAATAATCTTTCTGGTTAGATTTCTTCTTCAAGCAGTTGGAGAACTAAATGCAAGAATTATAACAATTGGCACCAAGAGAAAATGGAACCAAATGTTGAAAACTGTGCAGAGTCGCCAAACCTCCCGTGGCATAAAGGACATGAACGTGGCATCTGCTGTATCCTCACAACCTTCTTGAGGTCTCTGTAAGGACTGACGCTCCTGGAGGTGAACAGGTGAGCAGCTGGAGATGGGAAGGCACAACCAGATCTTGTGTTGAACTAGATCACACTTCCGGGAGCTTTTGAGCAGCATCTTCTCCCGTCAGAAAAGAAGCACATGTTTGTCCCAGGGGCTGAGAAAATCCTGGGTCAGTTCCCCTGGGGCTACCTACCCCAAACCCTTCCAGCTCAGAGTCCTACCCTCACTGAGAATCCTATATTTCCCATCAGTTCTCACCACCACCCTAGGCCCTACAGCTTGTACCCATATCCTACCAACTTTACCACATGACAGTCAGGCTAAAGAAAGGTGGGGCTCAGGACTCAAGGTGCAAATGAATTGTGATGCTGAAGTTTTCATTCTAATAAAGCCCAGAAGAGCCTTGTCCAAAGAGAGAGGCCTACTTCCTGCTCCCTCTAGCACTGGGGATAGTTGTGGCAAAGATCCTTCTTTGCCCTCCTCTCCCCGCTCTCCTCACCCTGGTAACAGCTCACAGCTCTGAGAGTGAGTGTCCCTGTTTTGCCCCATGGATTCCTGCTCCAGTCACCTACCAGCATCCAGCTCAATCACACTATCCCTGGAGTCATCTCTCAAGGCAAAGGCTGCTCACTGGCTCAGGATCTGAGTGTGGAAGTGATAACCCTCCCCTGTCCTGGTAGAGTAAAAACCTGGGGGAGGGCCAGTACCCCATGCCTCAGGAAGCCCTGAAGGGAATTCAGCCACACATTCGGAGACTGAGGGGCCTAAGGGTGCTGGTCCCCTGCCAGTCTGCCTGGAACACCCCCTCCTGCCAGTCAAGAAGCCCCACACGAATGACTACCGGCCAGTACAGGACCTCCGGGAAATAAATAAAAGAGTTATGTACATACATCCAAAGGTCCCCAACCCATACACTCTCCTAAGTTCTCTGGTGCCCTCCCGTGTCTGATATACTGTATTAGATTTGAAGGATGCCTTTTTCAGTTTGCTGCTGGCACCCTGAAGTCAACCTCTTGTTCGCCTTGGATTTGCGGACAACTGACATGGACCCGGTTGCCTCAGGGGTTCAAGAACTCGCCCACCATCTTCGATGAGGCCCTGCAGGAGGACCTGGGTGAGTACCGGAGAACACACCCCAACCTCACTCTCCTTCAGTATGTGGACGACATCCTGATTGCAGCAGATACTGCTGAGACTGCAAGGAGGGAACAAGGGACCTGCTGACCTCCTTGGGGGCCCGTGGATACCGTGCCTCTGCGAAGAAGGCCCAGATATGCAAAGAAAGGGTGAGTTACGGGGGATACATCCTGGAGGGTGGGCATCGGCGGCTGTCAGATGCCAGAAAAGAGACTGTTTTGAAAATCCCAACCCCCATCTCATGAAGGGAAGTAAGGGAATTCCTGGGATCTGCTGGCTACTGCCGCCTCTGGGACCGGGTTTCACAGAGATTGCCAGGCCCCTATAGGAGGCAACCAAGAAAGGAAAGGCATTTGAATGGACTGAGAGAGAAAAGACAGCCTTTGAGCAGTTAAGGAAAGCCCTCCTAAGTGCTCCGCCCTGGGCCTGCCAGACATCACAAAGCCCTTCCATCTCTTCCTGGATGAACCCAAAGGAATAGCGAAGGGGGTACTGACTCAAACCCTGGGCCCCTGGAGCCGCCTAGTAGCTTATTTGTCCAAGAAGTTGGACCCTGTAGCTGCCGGCTGGCCCTCTTGCCTAAGGATTATTGCAGCAATGGTGCTCTTAGTCAAAGATGCTGACAAGCTGACTCTGGGGCAGGAAGTCTGGATCATGGACTTAATGTTTTTCTTAATTTATCCTCATTGTTGAAAGTATTACAGATGTCCCCTTCCCTCCCATTGATCACCTCCACCCCACTCCTACCCCTCCCCAGGCCTTCCCTATACTATTATCTGGCCATGGCCTATGCATATATGCATACAAGTTCTTTGGTTAATCTCTTCCTACCTTCCTCCTCTGAAATAAGTTATTCTGTTGCATGTTCAATGTCTCTGGATATATTTTATTCATCACTTTGTTTTGTTCATTAGATTCCACATATAAGTGAGATCATATGATACTTGCCTTTCTCTGACTGGCTTATTTCGTTTAGCATAATACTCTCCAGGCCCCTCCATGCTGTCTCTAACGGTGAGAGATTCTTCTTTTTTAAAGCTGCTTACTATTTCATTATGTACCTGTACCACAGTTTTTCGTTGTTGTTTTGTGTTTTTTTAAATATATTTTATTGATTTTTTACAGAGAGGAAGGGAGAGAGATAGAGAGCTAGAAACATCGATGAGAGAGAAACATCAGCTGCCTCTTGCACACCCCCTACCAGGGATGTGCCCGCAACCAAGGTACATGCCCTTGACCAGAATTAAACCTGGGACCTTTCAGTCCACAGGCCGAAGCTCTATCCACTGAGCCAAACCTGGGACCTTTCAGTCCACAGGCTGACGCTCTATCCACTGGCAGGGGGGAGAAAATGTAAAAAGATTATGACCCTAAGTAATAGGTGGGAGGAGCAGACCGATTCTCGCGGAACCGTCCTGGCACCAGCACCGCCCCTTTTCAAAGCACGGCGGGCGAGAACAGCGTACAGCGGCAGGAGTGGCCACTTGCAGGAGCCACCGAGACAAACTTCCTCACACAATCAGTTCATCCTCGGACCCAGTCGGACCGCAACACCCGTAGGGCGCCATCTGGGCTTCTAGTCGCCATGGTGGGCACGGTGGGCACCAAGCGCAGCCCCGCCTTGCTCTGGGTTCTGCTCTGCGTTCTGCTCTGGGTTCTGCCGCCGCACGGCGCCCGGGGCGCGCCTCCCGGTGAGTTCGGGGGGTTCGGGGATGAAATCTGCGGGGGAAGGAGCAGCATTAACCTGCGAGCCGGAGTGGGGGGACCAGAGGGGAAGCCCATGAGGGGGCTCGGGAACCCCGCCGCCACCCGCGGATGCCGCGACCAGCCCAGCCCTCCTCAATCCCTCCGTCTCCGCGGCTGTCCGGTCTGCATAGCTGGGAGTCAGCCTTCCCGGCAAGAAGGGAGCCCGAAACCAGCGGGGGCTTGGACCCCTCGGCATTGACAAAGGCCTCCTCCCTGGCCCGCGGGCCTCCCGTGGCGCCCCCTCCTCCGATCCCCCTTTACCGCCCCCCGCCCCACCCCCGCCACCCACCTTGCAGCTCTGGGGCTTCTTGGGAAGTGGGAGCCCCAGGCCCCGACGTGTGGGGCGTGGACAGGACTGGGACATCTCTCACGTTGGTAACCCAGGGACAGCTACAGGCCGCTTTCCTGCTATCGCTGCATTCTTAATTCTAAAAAACTGGAAAAAACTTTCTTAATTCTAAAAAAAAGAAAAAGAAAAAGAAAAACCCTGAAGTTCTTCCGTTCTTGCGCAATCCCCCCCAATGAGTCACTTTTGCTGGGCGCACTGTCGCTGGGAGACTCTGGCGCACTGTCGCTGTCAGCGGGACAGCACAGCGGTCAACTCAGGCAGCCTAGGGGGCTGCCACTGCTGAGTGCCCTGCCTCGCCCACCCTACCTGCCTCCCTTTTGGTGGGCGTGGCGGGTGGGTGTAGCAGAGTGTTGGTTAATTTGCATATTACTCTATTTATATATATATATATATATATATATATATATATATATATATATAATTGATTTCAGAGAGGGGGGAGAGAGAGAGAGAGAGAGAGAGACATCGACATCAATGATGAGAGAGAGTCACTGATTGGCTGCCTCCTACACACCCCACCCTGGGAATCAAGCCCACAACCCAGGCATGGGCCCTGAACAGGAATTGAACTATGACCTCCCCATTCATAGGTAGAGGCTCAACCACTGGCCATGCCTGCTAGGCTCTTTTTTTTTTTTTTTTAATATTTGAAAAAGATCTTCCATTTATTTTGAGTTTTACTGCCATTCATTGTAACTAATGTTGTTTGTTTTTTATTCAATTACCGTTTACATTCCATGTTATTTAGTATTAGTTCTAGGTGTATGGCTTAGTGACTAGGCAACTCATATTTTACAAAGTGTCACCCCTGGGTATTTCAAGTACCCAATCTTTTTCACTTCTCCACCCTCCCTACCAGTTTCAATGTGTCTTCTGAAAATTCTTGATATAAGACTACTACTGATCAAATAGTCTTCTGTTGGTTATTCAGGTTAATTGTTCTATATTTTTGTTGTAATTTTAGTTTGGTCCTGGGAGGCGGTGCGTGTAACTTCCACCTACTTTGCCACCATCTTGGATCTGCCTTCCTGCAAACTTTTTCTACAAAGAGCAATAATGAATGTCAGGCCACTTACTGTCTCTGTATACACTAGGCACCTTCATGTTTACAGAGGCAAAGTAGCCAAAGACAACATAGAAGTGGATGGGAAACCAGATTTGGATAGTCATAGTTTCCTGACCCCACATTTAGGGTGTCCCACATATGGGTGTTATGTCTGTTCGAAAATCATCCCTTAGGGTTCCTGCAATGTGTGTTCAAGAGCCAGAAACATGCCCTCTTTTACCTGTGGCTTTGGGTGGAGTGAATATGAGAGGATGTGGGTCCCACAGGTGGGGGCCTTTACTCCCCTCCTTTCTGTAGACTGGATTCTTTGGTCCAAGGGGACTGTGAGAGACACTGCATGAAGCCACCATAGGTGTGAGCTGAGGGCTCTGCTGGTGTAGCATTTCTGCTGTCAAGATCAGCATTGCATTCATTCCCTGTGACCCTGCTCATCTCAGTGCCTGTTTTACCAATCTATTGGGGAAAAGAAATGACAGTTTCAGAAGGTTGCACTTGAATTCCCCTACTGTGTGGCACTCAACCTACAAGTAATTCACTAACGACAATGATTTTTCTATCTTTATTACAAATCTGGGGAATGCGAAATGACGACTGTGTGTGGCTGGATTAAATGATAGCACTGTGAGCAGGATCTGGGACAGGTGTCTGTTCATTACCGGGGCCCCACACCATGCACCATGCACCACTTTAGTAACAGGGCCCACAATGTCTCACACACTAGTTCCAATGTGAGTGTCCGGGTGGCTTCTGTTTCCCGGTGGACACTTAGCCAGGTCAAAGGCCATAAGGCACTTGCTGTCAACTTGAAGGGTCCCTCCTCATTGGAACTGGACCTCTGCTTCTAGTAATGGGGTACAGGTCTCAAAACTGGCAACAGACCCAGCCTCTTTCCAGAAGGCTGCTTTTAGCCTCCCAATTAGTTAATCTTGTGTTTTGTCTTCGCTGTTATTACTTACATCCAGCACTCTCTGAATTGGATTTTGTTCCTAGGGTCACTAGTTCCGTGAGGCAAAGGAACTTTTCTGATTGTTTCAATAATGGCCCTCTGCTTTCTGTGACAGTTGAGTTCCTATATCTAATCCCATCATTTTTTCCAGGATAAGACACTCTTTTGCCCTATCTGTATTTTTCATCTTCATTACTACTGGGAGCCTGTTTCTGAAATACTACTTCCACTTGGTAATTCTTGGCATCAGAGACAGCCAGCACTGAGATTGCTGACAATGGTGTTGCCTTTCTTACTGTTGGGGAGGAAGAATTTTTCCTCCATGCATCTAGGTTCTTCTGACTGGCCTAACACTTAAATTAACGTGAGAGATATTAACAGGTAAAAAGCAAAATTTAATATGATGGGTACAGGAGATTGTAGAAATAGGAAACTCTCTGAAGTAACCACAGTAAGCAGATTTTATACTTTTAAACAAAGAAATCATAAACTTGTGAAGAATTAACAAAGGCATTTTGGCTTGGAGTAGTAAATTAGCAATGAAGCAAGAAGGTTACGTTATACAGCCTTCTTGGCCCTATATTCCCCATCTCTGGCGCTAAGAATGTCTCTCTACCTCCTGGTGTAGGGAAAGTGCATTTCACATAGGAGATTTATTCCCTGCTTTCAGCGGGACTAAGGAAGGTCCTTCTTGCACCGGCTGTTTCTTAAATAACTTTAATTCAAAATTATCAGTATGCCAAAGTGACACACTTGAACCCTATCATCAGCAATCATTCATAATAAGTTCAATAAAGAATCCTTGCCGGGACCGGTTTGGCTCAATGGATAGAGCGTCGGCTTGGGGACTGAAGGGTCCCGGGTTCGATTCCGGTCAAGGGCATGTACCTTGGTTGCAGGCATATCCCCAGTAGGGGGTGTGCAAGAGGCAGCTGATCGATGACTCTCTCTCTCATCGATGTTTCTAACTCTCTATCTCTCTCCCTTTCTCTCTGTATAAAAATCAATAAAATATATTTAAAAAAAAAAAAAAAGAATCTTTCATGCCTTCCCTTAAGCAAAGCTGATGGACATTTTCTAGTTGTTCCGACTTTTCATACTTTGTCCATTCTGAGTGCATGCATTCTCTGATTCTTTTAATCTCTCCCTCTACTGTCTGTGTGGGAAGCTCTAATATTCTCTTCCATACAGTGCAGCCATCCTTTTCCTCAAACCCCTAATACCCATCCTAATAACAGGTAAGCATCCTCTCCCAGGGCTGTGCTAAATCCTCTAGTTGTCAACTCCCCCTCTTCTACATTGGGTTCCCATCTCACTCCGTCCCCACTATCATCCAGTTTCCTCAGGAGCAGCCCCCCCCCCGCACACTCAAACATCTCCCCACAGGGCACTGGGCTGGTCTTTGACAGTCCTCTGGTATCAAGACCTTTTTCTCCCCTATGAAGCCTGGAACATTCCTGGACTTGTTATAGACTGACTGATGCTGGTTACTGGCCTGGAGGAGAGAGGGGACATATCGGGGATTGTGTGGTCTCCTGCTCGGCAGTGGCCTCCAGGGCCTCCTCAAGCAAGAGAGGGCCACTAGCCCTCACATGGTGATTAGAGGGGCCTGGCAGAGTCAGTTCTTGCTTTGCCAGCCCAGCCCAGCCCATCAGAGGGATTCACTTGCTGTCAAGAGATAAGGAAAGACACTTATGGGCACTTTTCTTCCAACCCCAACTTTCATTTGCATTTTTTCCCCTCACAGGTGCTATCTCTTTTAGCTATAAATTCACCATTACTCCTCATGGACAGCCATGGTATAAAATTCAAGGCCAGAACAATGGAAATACATTTCTTGATTATGATTCTAATAGCCAGAAGAGTGCCACAGAGGCCTCGGAGAGACAGATTACAACTCTAAAAGGCCTGCTGGAAGAGTTCAAAAAGCACCTGCTTGACATTAAACCAGAAATTATTAAATTCATTGGTAAGTTTGTAAGCCCATTGTAGAAGTAGAAGACTGTTGTCAGGTTAGGAAACAATTGCATTTATATAAATACTATAGGGCGGTGCACAAAGTTTGTGTGTGAGTGGGGTCCCTAGGCCTAGCCAGTGATCAGGGCCTATTAGGGCCCTCTTGCTCAGTCCTGATCAAGGCTGGGCCGGGGCCTGCCTGATGCGGGAGAGGTACTGTGGGAGGTTTGCTGGCCATGGGAGATTGGCTGTGGGGGCACACTGACCACCAGGGGGCAGCTCCTGCATTGAGTGTCTGCACCCTGGTGGTCAGTACACATCATAGCAACTGGCCAACCAGTCGTTCCGGTCATTCAGTCATATCAGTCACTTAGACTTTTATATATATTGATATATATAGATTGGAAGTTGGTTCCACCTATGAATCCCAGCAGCCAGGATAGGACACAGAAGTCAGAGCAAGACTAGGAGATAGGAGGGGAGAGAGGGCTGGATACAAGGTTGTAACAAAGGATCTATCAAGACCCAAGGCTGACCTCTTTCCTATGGGGGGTGGGAATAGTTTATTTCTCCCTGAAGGGCACCATGATGTGTAAGCAGGAATCCAATGGACACAATAGCGCATTCTGGGAGTTTGGCTTTGATGGACATACATGGCTCCACTTTCACTTGAAGAACAAAAGCTGGACAGTGTTGCGACCTGAAGGGGAACTGTTAAAGAAGACATTGGCGAGTGACAGAGCTATGATTGGTGACCTCGTTAGTACCTCTAAAGACTGTATAGACTCGCTTCAGCAAGTTTCCAGATCCCAAGGTGAAGTTGTGAGCACAAAAGGTAACTGTGTAGAGGGGATGATGTCGTAGGTCTCTTGAATTGACATTGACATTGTGTGTGTGTCTGTGTGTTATGTGTGGTTTGAAAAAGTGATCCAACCATCAAGGAGGCTTTTGTTTTTTGTTGTTTTTTGTTTGTTTGTTTGTTTGTTTGTTTTTTAGTCTAACAGTCATTGGTATGTTCTGAAATACCTCCTTTCCCTTGTCTCCTCCTCTTCTTCACTGCACATAATCCTAGACCACTCACTGTGGATTTTTTGCTAACCCCAAAGGCATCATTTGGCTCTAGAGCTTTTCCTTGTACTGTTTCCTCTTTATAGTATCACTTCCCTTCTTCATTTCACCTGGTCTACTTCTGGAAATCCTTCAAAACAATCTCAAATCAGCTCCTGAGAGGACTTTTCAATCACCTTCCTCAATCACCTTCTGTCTTCCCCCATTAGCTATATGAGCTTCAAGGGGACAGGGCCCATCTCCTCTCTTTGTTCCAACCCCAGGATCTGTCACATTGGCTGCCACATGTAGGGGGTAGAAAGTGTTTGCATTGTAGGATTGCCTGGGACAGCACCTCAGATTTGAGTTCTGCACAGGATGTCACTCTTGTGTTTCCATTACAGCTGCATCAACCACTGCCACAGCCACAGTTCCATCCAAGGCCACAACTAGCATGCCCATCACTTGGATCCTCCCTGTGATCCTCACCAGTTTGATCATAGTAGGTATCCTCTGCTGGGGCCTTATAGTAACAGGTACCGAGGGCAGGATTGAGTGGGAAGTGAAAGGCAGATGGCCAGGGGTGAGGGAGGTGGTTTCCCAGCCTGACCCCTGATCCCGCCACACTGAAACTTTTCACCCTGGAAATTAGACCAGGAAACTAACACATGGTATAACTTAACAGCAATAAGTTGCACTAGCTCAGCCTTGTTGATGCCAATGGGCAAAGGAGGGGTCCACACCAAGGCTTAAGGCCTATAGATGCTGAAGGTGTTTAGAGATTTCAGTTTTGGCTCAAATTCTCTTTGGGAGAGATTTTGGGAGCCCAGTGTGGGTGGAGTGGAGATAGTAGGCACAGAGGACATGGGCAGTACTTACATTCAGGTGACAGTAGTATGCTGTGATATGTCCAGGGAAGGGGAATAGCCAGGGGGCAGGACCTAATCCCAGGAAGAATGTTGGAAGGCCTTGCAAACCCAACTCCAAAAGCTGAAGTTCACAGAAAGTGGTTTGGAACCGTCCAGTAAGGAGGGAGGCAAACAGTAAGGACAATGTATGGAGGCAACAGTAAGGTTAGAAGGAGGCCAGTTCTCAGTGAACGCCTGGGATTCCTGGCTGAGCTCTGATGTAGTTACCTGGCAGCCAGCCTCCTCCACATTCCAGATCCTGAGTCACTGAGCGGCCCAGGGCAGAGGTGACTGAGGACATAGATGGGGCTGACCACGAATGGATGGGCAGGGCGGGGACCCTCATACTGAGAGAGCTGCTAGGTGAGAGGCTGGGAGAGAAGGGAAAAGAAGGAAATTGTCTGCAACCCTCCCCAAGCTGTCAGGTGTCAGGAAGGGCCTTCCTGTCCATCAGAGCTCCCACCAGGTCCTTAGACCCTCCCACCGCAGGAGAATCACGCCTGAGTGAAGGGAGCAGATGGACTCATTACTTTAGTCCTGAGCCCAGAACGTCTGTAGCGGGGCTGGGGTGGCGCTGTGATGTGCAGAGGGTGGGCAGAGCTTGGTACAGGCTGCTGGTCCCAGGGCAGGGGTGGCACGTCCAGGGAAAGACCTGACTCTGGTGAGGGCAGGGCTGGGGATGGGGACTGACTGGGGTGCTGTAACCCCAGGAAAACTGAACGAGGATTTCCTCAGCCACTCGGACCAACACTCACCCTTTTCCGCAGGCTACCGATGCAACCAAGGAGGCTCTGGTGGTGTGGACTATCTCAGCGGCTCTGCCTTTTGCTTGGCTGCCTCTGGATGATTTGCTATTCTGTTTTTTTTTTAAATTAATTTATCTTTATTTTTTAATCTTTATTGCTACAAGTATTACATATGCTATTCATTTTATTTTATTTCATTTAATTAAAAACTTTATTTTTAATTTATAAAAATACCACATGAGTCCTAACCGGTTTAGCTCAGTGGATAGAGCATCAGCCTGTGGACTGAAAGGTCCCAGGTTCAATTCCAGTCAAGGGCATGTACCTTGGTTGCAGGCACATGCCCAGTAAGAGGTATGCAGGGGTAAGCTGATTGATGTTTCCCTCTCATAGATGTTTCTAACTCTTTATCCTTCTCTTTTCCTCTTTTTTAAAAAAATCAATAAAATGTATTTAAAAACAACACCACATTATCTCACTCATTTATAGATAATAAAGAACATTATAAACTGATGAACAAAAAGATAGATACAGAGACAGTAAAGCATTAGACAGACTGTCAAATTACAGTGGGAAGGTTAGGGAGAGGTGGGGGGATAAGACATCAACCAAAGGACTTGTATGCATGCAAATAAGCATAACCAATGGGTGCAAAACACTGGGGGGTGAGGACATGTATGGGAGTGAGGGGGCAATGGTAAGATATGTACACATATGATATCTTAATTTTTAAAAATGAAAGAAAAACTTCATTTTTAATTTTTTAATTTATTGGTGTGGCAGGTTAATAAAATTATATGTTTCAATTCTATAATACATCATCTGTGCACTGTATTGTATGTTCACCATCCCAAGTCAAGTCTCCTTCTATCACCATTTATCTCATCTTCACCCTCATCTACCTCCCCCAGCCCCTTTACCTCTGATCATCACCATATTGTTGTCTGTGTCGATGAATTTATGGGGTTTTGCTTAATCCTTAACTATTTTCACCCAGCTCCCCTCCCCTGTAACAGCTGTCAGTTTGTTCTCTGTATCTATGAATCTGTTGATAGTCAGATTCTAATTTACAGATATAGTTTAGATGTCTAATATTAAATTGGAAGATCACACAAGAAAACCATTTACACATAAAGGTTAAAACCAATATTTAAAACTTTTAAAAACTGTATATTACATAAAGCCAAAATGAAACATGTTAGCCAACTTCATTCACAAACATTAGTCAAAATATATACATTTAAAAAGGAACACAAAAGCTATAATTGAGAAAGGCTCTTTTCTCTAAAATGTGTTTTATCATAAATTGCAAATGAATTGCAGTTGATCTAAAATATAAGCTAATGAAAGAGGGAACTCCAAAACACATTTAAAGGGTTCAAGTTGGTGGAGAAAAGCTGGCTGACAACAAGAGACATCTGTCAAAACAATTCTGTGGATGTTTTTTTTTTTCTTTCAGTTTTGCTAAATAATAAATATATAATTACCACTCAGACAAAAAAAAAAAAATGTCTGATTTAATCTTAGGTATCATTGTGATTCTACAATAGCACCACAATTTTTAAAAGTTAACTTTGATACTTGCTCAAAATGCTTTAGAGTCTAAAATCGACTCAAATTTAGGGTAAACGCAATTAAACACATTCCCAGACTGAATGTTTTCATGAACATGTACACATTTACAATCTCAACCATTGGGGAAAATAGAAACAGGCCCTTTACATTGTCTAGAAACTGTGTCAGAAATCCCAAGTGAGTGGACTCAGGATGATTTCTACCTCTTTTGTTTTTATTCAAGGGGGAAGATCCAACTGACAACTTTTCAATCTCACACATATTTCTTTTTTTTTATTATTAATTAATTAATTTATTTTTTTTACATATTTTAATGATTTTTTTGCCCCCCTCCCTTCCTCCCCCACATATTTCTTTTCTTTTTCTCTTTTTCAAAAATATATTTTATTGATTTTCCACAGAGAGGAAGGAAGAGAGATAGAGAGCTAAAAACGTGGACCTGCTGCGTCCTACCACGGATGTGCCCACAACCAATGTACATGCCCTTGACCGGTATCGAACCTGGGACCTTTCAGTCCGCAGACTGAAGCTCTATCCACTGAGCCAAACCGGTTTGGGCTCAGTTGCACACATATTTCTCCTTTGCATTCCTTGCTCTTGAGAAAGAGCTCTTGCTTTGATTTGCATATGGCGTTAGAAACCGCGGATCATCTCACATACAAAAGGCCAGATTCGAGATGGTCACTGGTCAAGAATGGATCCGGTCTGGGGTTTCTGTTTGCGAGAGCAGAGATTTGCCAAGTTCAAAATAGTACAACTAGGGAGCGAGGTTGCTCAGAACCAAATCCCCGCTCCAAAGAAACGAATAGCATAGATCTGGTTTTCCCTTGTGTCAGCCATTTCAGACCTAACATTTGAACAGTGTGCATGCAACACAGACCAGGAGTGAAAGAAAAGAAAAAAAAAAAAGATAATGAGAAACAAAAATAAAGCCGACAATAAACAAAAACAAAACCGACCACGAACAAAATTGGAGTGAGTGCCCAACAAGTCAAAAAGTTACTCCTCCACCAATAGGGGCCAAAACACAACAGGTTCCGAAGTGCATAACAAACGCCAGCTGCTGCCGGAATGAATACCACCGCCCGCTGTACAGCTGGCTGCCCCAGTGCGGTTCTGAAATGATCCTGTGAATTCAGGATGCCATGGCGCGCCCCGAATAACATCTCCGCCTCTGCCGGCACCTATACATCTTCTGTACAAACAGCCCGAGGTCCCCCGTGGCGGAAGGGCGCGCCGGGCGGCCGCAGAGCTCGTACCTATGCATATGTACACGCGTGTGCACCCCGAACCTCGCCAGGTGGCCCTGGGGGGTCATAGCGCGGCGGCGTGGGCCGGGGGGTAAGGGTCCAGCTGAGGCTTGCCCACGCCCGGCAGCAGGATGTAGGCGAGTGGTGGCTGCAGCCCTGGGCTGTGCCAGGCGCTGCAGTTGCCCGCGATCACGTAGCCCGGGTTGCCCGGGCTGGGGTGCGAGTGCGTGTGCCCCCCCGGCGGCCGCAGTGGCCGCTGCAGCCGCCGCCCCGCCGCGGAAGGCGCCCGCGCCCGTGGTCGGGTAGCCCAGCGACGACGCGAACGGGAGGCCGGACAAGGACGAGATCTCTGCCATCTTGGAGCCCAGGTCGAGCAGGGAGGAGGGGCTGCCTGCGGCGGCGGCGGCGGCTGCGGGAAGAAGACTCGGGCGGCGGCCCGTTGGCTGCCCGGCGCCCGCCTTGAGCGCCAGGGGCTCGGGGCTCGGAGTCGGCCACGCTGCCCAGGCCGTAGGGCACGGGGAGAGAGTTAGAAACATCGATGAGAGAGAAACATCGTCCAGCTGCCTCCTGCACACCCCCTGCTGGGGATGTGCCTGCAACCAAGGCACATGCCCTTGACCGGAATCGAATCCGTAGGCCGATGCTCTGTGGGCGAACTTGTCCTTCTTGAGCAGCGCCTGGGGCTTGCGCAGCGGCCGGTACTGGTACTGTCGGGGCGCTCCTTCTTGGCGCGCAGGCGCTTCGCCTCTTCGATGATCGGCCTTTTCCCCGACTTCCGCTCGGCGCCCAGGCGCTCGCTGACCTCCGAGTTGTGCATCTTGGGGTTCTCCTGGGCCACCGTGCGCCGCTGAGCCCGCCGCCCGGTGATCAATGCCGGCGGCCAGGCGTCCCCGCCCGCGGGGGGGCGGGGGGGGGGGAGGCGGGCGGGACAAAACTCTCCGGAGCACGAGAACTTTCCGGCGGTGCCCACCCCCACCGGGGCAGTTTGCCCTCTGCTTCCGGTGTGTCCTTCCTCTCCGGTGGCGTTTCCTTGCAAAGTCCCCGCAGGTGGTCAGTCTGCCCGGCGGAGCTCAGCGGGTCCGGTCAGCCTTCTCTCTGAAAGGCACAGCCGCCCGGAAAGGTGCGTCGCGGAGGCTCCCAAAGTTGAGCCGAGAGAGCGGCCGATCGCCGCGTGCTGCCAAGTGCCAAAAGGGGCTGTCGGTGGCCAGAGTGCTTGGGAACTCGGCGACTTTCTCATTTGACGGTGTGTGCTCACCCCCTGTCTTCAGACTCCAAAGACCCATCCTACTAGAAGATTAGCCCCATCTCTGAGAGCCATGCTAAGTTCCATGACCCATCACTGTTAACTCTCCCTTCTCCAACTTTCTCAGGGTTTTCTCTTCCTCAGCTTTCTCAGGATCAGACCCTACACACTCTACCTTCTCCCTACAGAACCCGGAAATGTTTCTGCCAATCCTCTGGCATCTGGACCTTTTCTTCCCCTGGCTGCCTGGCATGTCCCAGTGTTGGTCATAGACTGACGGGTGCCGAGTCCTGGCCTCATGGACAAACAGGACAGATCTGGGGTGTGTGGTTTCCTGGCAGGCAGAGGCTTCCTGAGCCACCTCAAGCAAGGGAGCCCCTGCCATCAGGGGCTCCGCTTGGGGTTGCCCATGGTAGGTGGCTCTCTGATCTGGAAGGACAGCACAAGGACCCGACCAGGGCTGAGGAGGTCTGCTGGGCAGCATGGATCTCTGGTCTCTGCGACTTCTGGGTCTCAGTTCTCAAACATCTTAGCTGAACCATCGAGGTCTAATGGAGGTATGCTTCGCCATTCCTCATCTTCATATGTGGCGTATCCACCAGATAAGCCTTTCCTTAATAGTGATCTACAGTGCTCCCCAAATGAGCCTACACTTGTCTATCCAGTAAGCAACAGCAGAATAATATTTTCTGCTCTGAAGAATCTTCCAGAAAAAGACTCAACACTTAGCCCTTGAAAGGATTCAGGCAGAAGAAAGTGTGAAAACCTTGTCTAGACAAACAATTGAATATAAGTATTGGATGAACAGGTGCTAGGAATAGAATTCAAAAAATGAGGAATCCGCCCAAACCGGTTTGGCTCAGCGGTAGAGCCTGGGTCTGCGGACTGAAAGGTCCCAGGTTCATTTCAGGTCAAGGGCATGTACATTGGTTGCGGGCGCATCCCGGGTAGGGGGTGTGCAAGAGGCAGCTGGACAATGCTCTCCCTTTCTCTCTGTAAAACGTATTTAATAAATAAAATAAAATAAAATAAAATAAAATAAAATAAAATAAATAAAAAAGCGGGGAAGGCGTACCGCTCCGTTCAGCCCGGTCTGTCTAGCTGGCTGCTCTCGCTTCTGCTGGCACTTGTGAGGCTCTTTGAATTTAGCGCTCGCTTCGGCGGCGGCCGGGGGAGGACTGTGCGCCTACTGCTTTATTTAAATAGCGGGCGGAGCTAGTGCGTCTCCTCTTTGAGCGTCTTCAGGGGCGGGGCCTGCTTCGTTTATATAAATAGGCTGGCTGGGCGGGAGCGCTCCGGCTCCGGCTGCGGTGGAGACATGGAGCGGTCTGCGCGGCTCAGCCCGGTCTGCCTGCTGCTGCTGCTGCTGCTGTGGGAACCCGCTGCTCCCGGCTGTGAGTGGGAAGGGGGAAGGGGGAAGGGGTCCGGGGCGAGGGACCGGCATTTCGAGGAACCGGAGGGAGGGATAGGGGGGAGGGTGCCCTCGGCGGTCCTCTGGGCGGGCGCCTTCCCGTCCCCGGGGCGTCTTCCCCGCGGACCGCCTCTTTCCAGGCCGGGGTGGGAGGGGGGGTTTGCCTGCGGTTGTCACTAATGGTCCCGGGCGAGGGGCCGGGGTGCGGGGTGGGAGCGCGGAGGGCCTGCGGGGATGGCTGACGAGCCCCCTCCCCACCCCGAGCCGCCACGCACGGCCGCCCTCGGAGCGGACAGTCCTCCCCGGGGGCTCTGGGCGCCGGGCCGGCGAGGGTGGTAGAGGGGGGAACGGGAGGGGGGGGGGGGGGGGGGGGGGGGGGGGGGGGGGGGGGGGGGGGGGGGGGGGTAGGGGGGAGGTCGCGTGGGTGCGGCTTGGGTGAAGAAAGCTTTTGCAACTAGAGGCCAGGAGGGCGGTGGCACCACGCGGTAGTTCACTGCAGCACAGACACCCCTGTTGCGGCCCAGCTCACGCATCCTGCCCTCAACTCTCCACCCGCTCCCTAGAGGAAGTTGAGTTCAGCCAGCCCTTGGGCTGCGAGCGGAGAGGCCGGCTGGGAGGGGGGGGGGGGGGGGGGGGCGAGGAAGCAGCCCCAGGAGCCAGCCAGGTGCCTGCAGACAGGAGCTGGGCAGACCGGAGGGGAGCAAACACAGGGGCGCCGCGGGGACTCGGAAAACAGACCCGGACAACTGGAGAGGGAGGGAGAGAGGGCACCTCGCAGGAGGCCTCCGAGGAGGAGCGGTGACCGGCCCCTGCTTCTTCCCCAGGAGCAGTTTCCTCCTGGGACTGGGCAGCTCCGCCCCATGGCCCCCGCCCGCGGCCACCACCCACCTGCGCCCCACACTGCACTGCACTCCAGCCGGGCCCTGGAGACCCAGGGGAGCAGGTTTCCTTTGGTCCGGGTTCCCGGCACCCCGCACCCCCACTTGCATTCCCCCCGCCTCCTGACAAAGCTGACATCTCTCTCAGCCGCACCGAATGCGTGCTGGGTCCCTGCTCCCTGGGTGGTGGGGGCATTGCTGACTGGGCTCCTGATTTAGGGGGTCCCTAACCCCACTCTTACCTCTGGCTTCCCATCAGGGGGCCTGGGAAGGCTCCCTGGCCTTAAAGGGGCCTGAGCCCCATCTCACTCTGACATGTCCACGCAGCTGTCCTGGCAGCTGCACTGGTGTCCATGGGTAGGGCCCTTTGGCGCCAAGATGCCCCAACCAACCTGTGTCTGTCTCAGCAGGGGCAGCTGACACCCTTTCCTCCCTAACAGAGGTGCCTAGCCCTGCACTTACCTCCCTAACAGAGGTGCCTAGCCCTGCACTAGGTTGCACAGGAGAAAAGGAAGGAGGGATGTGAGCCCACCCACCCCCACCCCATCTGCTTCCACTCCAGGCCTCCAGCTTCCTCCCCCTCACATGGGGCACTAACAAGGAGCTAGCCTTGCCCACTCTCATCCTCTGCTCCTCCCCACCCCACAACGTTCAGGTTCCATCTTTCCTCTGTTCACACACTACCTCTGGACACAGTTGTGCTGTTTTTTGTTCCATGTTTCATCCTTAGCCATCTGTCATGGCTGCTCCTACCAGCACCGAATGTTCATCCTCACTGCCTCCTCTTCTGCCCACACTCCCCTCCAAGGTGCTCTTGGGAAGGGGCCAGGGGCAAAGCAGGCTGGGAATCCACTGCCCCAGTCCCAGGGAAGTTGGGGCAGCAGAGTGAACAGGGGTTGGGGACTGTGTTCACAGCGGAGAGTGTAGGGCCACCTTCTCCCCCTGTTGTGCTGGGGAGGAGGTAGCCATTATTCCTCCCAGGCTGTGCCCCTCCCTCTGCTTTCCTACCTGCAGTTACTTACATACAGATGTATCCTTTTCTGGGAAAATGAAAAAAGTGGAAGCCCGAGCCCCTGACAGGACAAGGGCCACTCAGTCATCAGGGGCATTCCCTTGCTGTTAAGACATGGGGGAGGGGCATGTAGGGTTCTCTTATTCCAACTCCAAGCTTCCCCTGCATTTTCTCCTCACAGGTGCTCGCTTTCTGACCTTTAAATTCACAGTCACTCCTAATGGAGAACCACGGTGTGAAATTCAAGGCCAGGTCAATGGAAACACATTTTTTCATTATACCTGTGGTAGCAACAAGGTCACACTCATCAGTGTTCCGGAGATGAGTGCCACACAGGCCTGGAATCAGCAGAGAGAAGCTCTCCAATACATGGTGGAAGAGATCACGAAGATAATGCTTGACAGGAAAGCAGAGATTGCTGCAACTGGTAGTAAGTTTACAAAAACCCAGGGTAGAGGTAGAACGGGGTTGGAGGATTAGGGGTCGATGGTGTTTATGTAAATATTGGAAGGTGGTCCCACCCAACAGACTCAGGAGCCAGTGTGGACACAGAGGACAGAGCAGGACCAGGAACTAAGGGGAATAAAGGGCTGGACACCAGGTAGGGGAAAAGGCTCTGTCAAGGCTGATCTCCTTCCCATGGGGGTGGGGAAGGTCCTCTCTCCCTACAGGGCAACATGACGTGTAAGGTGGAATCCAATAACCACACCAGCGCATCCTTAGAGTTTGGATCAGATGGACAGGTGTATCTGTTCTTGGACTCCAAGAATGGAACCTGGACAGTGTTGCATGATGAAGACAAACTGGTAACGAAAATATTGGCAAGTGACAGAGAAATGACCCATCTCCTTATTAAGACCTCAGCTGGAGACTGTACTAACTGGCTTAAACAAGTTTTGTGTCTCCAGGATGGAATTCTGAGCACACAAGGTAATTCTACAGGGAAATGAGGGTGTAGGTGCTTTGAAATGGCATTCAAACTGTGTGTGGATTGAGAAAGTGACCCATCTGCCATGGTGAGGGGTGTTTTGGAGAATAAGGGCCAGAGATATGTTCTGGGATCCCTCCTGGGGCTTCTCACCTCCTTGCTTCTCTGCCTCGTATAACCTTGGACCATTCACTGCATTTCTTGCTGACTGCAAACAAGCGGTAATTGTTCTATTTTCACACTTTTTCCTTGTCCTATTGCCTCTTCTCAGCTTCACTTGTCTTCTTCGACTCACCTGGACTATTTCTGGACATCCTTTAACACCACCTCAAATCAGCTCCTGCGAGGAGTCTCTACCACCTTCCTCATGTGCCCCCTCCTCTTCGGTCGCAGCTGGACTGATTGCTGTAGCCTCTGCTTGCCCCGTTAGCTGTGTGAGCCCATCTCCTCTCTTTGCTCCAATGTAAAGGGCCGCCTGGGAAGGCATGTGGACATTCTTTTAATTCTTTTCAGCTGAGCCCAAGGATACTGGCAGAGTCCTGTGGCCAGTTACAAACCCCCAAGAAGGGAGGGGGTTTATCAGTCCTGACTTACTTTTGTCCAGGTTTCTGGACAGGGTTTTGAGATATAAATCCTGCCTAGCACCAGGAAGGAGGGAAAGAATAGGACCTGGGCCCACCCAAGCTTCTTTTTTAAAAAATTTTTTAAAAAATATATTTTATTGATTTTGTACAGAGAGGAAGGGAGTTAGAAACATCGATGAGAGTTATCAATCAGCTGTCTCTTGCACACCCCCCTAAGGGGATGTGCCCGCAACCAAGGTACATGCCCTTGACCGGAATCGAACCCGGAACCGTTCAGTCCCCAAGCCGACGCTCTATCCACTGAGCCAAACCGGTTTCGGCTTTTTAATATATTTTATTGAGGAAGAGAGGGATAGAGAGTTAGAAACATCGATGAGAGTGAATCATTGATCAGCTGCCTCTTGCACACACCCTACTGGGGATATGCCTGCAACCACGGTACATGCCCTTGACTGGAATTGACCGACATGGGACCCTTCAGTCCACTCTATCCACTGAGCCAAACTTGTTTCGCCCACCCAAGCTCCTTTGATCCTAAGTTTTCCCTGTGAAACCCCTTTGTATTTTGGAGGATAAATAAATGTGCCGTGTTGCCTGTGGGGGTGAATGTCTCTCTATCAGAGTGACAGGCCTCCACTCTGTACCCAGCTTGAACCCATTTCTGTTTCTTTTTCATTTCTTAATCCCCAGCTCCTCCACTCAGGAACCAGTCCTCCTCCCTTTCCGTGTGGGATAAGGAAAAAGGAGAAACACCCCACCACACTCCAACCCCAGGATCCGTCACCATGGCTGACACAGGTAGAGGGTAGAAACTGCATAACAGGATTACCTGGGACAGCATGGGCTGAGGAGGCATCTCCGTAGAATGGCGTTCTGCATGGATGTCACTCTTGTGTTCCATTCCAGCTGCATCACCCAATGCCACAGCCACAGCCACAGTCCCGTCCAAGGCCAACATGCTCATCATTTTAATCTCCTCTGTGATCGTCAGCTGCTTGATCATCATTGGCATCTTAAGACGGGGCCTTTACAGGTACTGAGGGCTTAATTATATGGGAAATGAGGCACAGATGGAATGGGGTGAGGACTGGGAAAGATGAATTGACCCCTGCCACCTGCCCCATCCTCCTTAAACTTCTCCTCCTGGAAATTAGACCAGGAGACTAACACATGTTGCCACTTAGCAGCAATCAGTTGCACAAGCTCAGCGCTGAGTGCTGCTGTCTCCTCACTGATGATGCCAGTGGGAACGGGAGAAGCCCACACCAAGGCTAAGGCGGGCACATGCTGAAGGGGTTTAGGGATTGCCGTCCTGACTCAGAGTCTCTGTTTGGGAGAGTGTTTGGGGCCAGTGTGGGTGGAGTGGGGACAGAGGCACACAGGGCATGGGCAGCACTCACTTTCAGGGGAGAGCAGCATGCTGGCTGCATGTGATGTGTCCAGGGAAGGGAGTATCCAGGGGGCTGAGAGGAGAGTGCCGGGAAGATAAGTGGAAGGCCTTGCAGACCCAACTCAAAAGGCTGGAGTTCCCCAAAAGGGACTTTGGAAGGCCCAGTATGGGGGGGAGGGGAGGTGAACAGTAAGGACTATTTAAGAAGACAAACCTTAAGGTTAGAAGGAGGCCTGGGATTCCTGGCTGAGCCCTGGTGTAATCACCTGACAGACAGGCGACCTCCTCCACATCCCAGATCCTGAGCCACTGAGGGGCCCCTATGCTAGGGCAGGGCTGGGCGGTCATACTGAGAGTTCTATGTGCTGCTAGGTGAGAGGCTGGGAGAGAACGGAGAAGAAGGAAATTGTCTGCAACCCTCCCCATGCTGTCAGGTGTCAGGGAAGGGCCTTCCTGTCCATCAAAGCTCCCACCAGGTCCTTAGACCCTCCCACCCGCAGGAGAATCACGCCTGAGTGAAGGGAGCAGATGGACTCATTACTTTAGTCCTGAGCCCAGAACGTCTGTAGCGGGGCTGGGGTGGCGCTGTGATGTGCAGAGGGTGGGCAGAGCTTGGTACAGGCTGCTGGTCCCAGGGCAGGGGTGGCAGGTTCAGGGAAAGGCATGACTCTGGTGGGGGCAGGGCTGGGGATGGGGAGTCACTGGAGTGCTGTGGGACCAACACTCGCCCTTTTCCACAGGCTGCTGATGCGAAGATGCCAAGGAGGCCCTGGTGGTGTGAATGAGCTCAGCAACTCTGCCTCTCCCCGGCTGCCTCTGGATGACCTGCTGCTCATTTTTAGAACACGAGTTCAAAGCTTCCGCCCGGAGACCAGGGTCTGATCAGGATGAGACAGCAGAGGCAACATCTCATGTCTGTTATTGCATTTGCTGATTATCCTCCTCAGGGCTTTTTAAACCTCAGGTCACTTTCTGTGGTGCTAAGAGATGTGATTTCTACATTTAAACATCAATAGCTGCAATAAGAAATCTGAACACAGAGAACATTTTCCATCTTCTTTGTGGAAGATCAGACACATCTCTGCATCATGGCTTTTTACCCAAATGATATTGCCAAAAAAGTGCCAAATCTGAGGCCTTCTCTCAGTACACAAAATAATTTTGTGTTTTAAAAGAACAAAGTTATATTTACAATTGTTTCATTAGTAGCTTATCATTTAAATCACATGTGTCAAACACAAGGCCCGCGGGCCAAATCCTTGATAGCATGTGAGTTGGTTAACAGCACTGTTAAGGAAAAGATTGTTCCACTCATTTTAAATTCACATTTCTGGTTAACACTGTCAGTTTATGACTGTTCAGTAAACCATTCGGCCCACGATTTAGGCTGGATTTTAGATTTTGGCCCCTTCTCTGATTGAGTTCGACACCCCTAATTTAAATAAACATTTTTAGATTCTTAAAAACTTAATTACTTTGGAGTTTTGTGTTATTCTTTTTTTAGAGAATTTTTTAGTTTATCTGAGTCAAACATGACAAATACTATCAGCGTGATCTCAAATCTTGAGAATAACAAGGTGTTTTTTTTCTATCAACTTTTTGTTTGTGTTTATCTTTTGCTTAACCCCTTCTCTTTTACCCTGAACCCCAACACCTTTTGCTCTGTACCCCAACACCTTTCACCCTGTACCCCAACACGTCCCCCTTGACAGTTGTCAGTCTGTTCTCTGTATCCATGAGTCTGTCTTTATTAGTTTATTTTGTTCATCAGATTCTCCATATAAGTGAAGATATATGCTACTTGTCTTCCTCTCACTGGCTTATTTCACTCCAGGTCCATGAATGCTGTCCGAAAAGATAAGATTTTCTTCTCCTTCTCCTTCTCCTTTCCCTTTTTCTTTTTCTTTTTTTTCTCCTTCCTTCCCTCCCTTCCTCCTCCTCCTCTTTTTTTTTTTTTTAAATTCCTCACCAGAAGGTATTATTTCTATTGATTTTTAGAGAGTGTGGAAGGGAGTGGGGAAGAGAAAGAAGAGAGAGAGAGAGAGGCATCGTTGTGAGACAAACAATTCATTGCCTCATGCATGCACCCCAACCAGAGCCAGGGAGCAAACCTGCAACCTAGGAATTGAACCTGTGACCCTTCTGTGCTCAGGCCAATGCTCTACCACTGAGATACACATGCCAGGGCAAGATTTCCTTCTTTTTATGGCCAAGTAGTGTTCCCTTGTCTAAATGTACCACATGTTTTACCCACTCGTGTGCTGATGGGCACTTGGGCTGCTTCCAAACCTTGGCTGTTGTAAGTAGCACTGCAATGAAATAGGGGTGCAGACATTCTTTCCAACCAGTGTTTCAGGTTTCCTCAGATATATTCCCAGAAGTGGAATCATTGGCTTATAAGGCAGTTCCACTTTGAATTGTTTGAGATATGGAGATTTATTTTATGACACGGGAGAGAATTCACAGCATCTCTCGGTTCCTCCATGTTAGGAGTAAACATTACCAGTGATTCTGCTAGAACTGCTTGCGGAAACAGAATGTAAGGGTCACTCCTCAGTGAGCAGGCATCTTGTATTGGTCTCAAACATTACCCTGATGCTCTGGATGCCAGCAGATGTTCTGGGACTTAACCAATGAGAATCTTATGATTTCTCCAATTCCCCCACCCAACACAGTGACTTCTCTGTGATTCCTCACCCGACTCACTTCCTTCAGGGAGAAGTAAGTCTTCACAGCAGAAACATCCCTACATCTCAAAGTTGTTGTATTTCCCCTCAGAGAATGGATCAGTATTCAGAATATGTAATGAACTACAAATAATAAGGATCAGTTTAATTCTCCTAAATTTGGGCAAATGCTTTGAGCGATTCACAGATGGTGAAAAGATTGAACGTGCCAGGCCAGTGGGCTCAGATGGTTGGCCATTGTCTTATGAATGGAGAGGTCAGGGCCCATGCCTGGGTTGGGGGTTCACTCCAGGTGGGGGCAGAAATGTGAGGGAGGAGGTTGGTGTCCAGTGGCTCTGGCTGAGGGAAGGTCCTAGCTTGGTATAAGGACTAGGAAGTCCTGAGTCCCCTGCCCCCACCCATGAGCCTTCTCCCCATTAAATAAGCAACATAGACTAAGGCCTCCTGCTCCACACATTCACCCAGTGAAGACAATGAGCTCCATGGGACAGTAAGTTCAATTGTCCTGAGGCTGAAGGCAGGTAGAGGAAGCCTATACCAGGCCTCTCTCTACTTAAACTGAGGGGCATAGAATAGCAGCAAACTGTGTATATTTACAGATATAAAAGATATAGAAAGCTCTGGACTGATTCACTAAAGCCATTATGCAAAAGGGGCCTGCGCTGTGTGCTTTGAAAGACAAGAGACCTTTGGGTTGGGCAGGACACAGGCTTGGTTGGTGTTAGATCTTGGTGGATCCAGGTGATCTGTGTGTAAGAAGAGACTCCATGCCTAGGGCTGGGGACAGAAGGCTGGATTTAATCCCTGGGAGGAAGCAACCAGGAAGGCCTGGGAGGCTCACCACAAGGCTGGGTTATGGAAGTAAGGGACAGGGAGAACAGGAGAGAGGAAGGAGGCTGGAGTGAAAGAAGGCCAGGTGGGAGGAGGATGGAACTCTCTGGACACCTGCACATCTTGGTTCACCCCAATGCTTGCTCCTGGTCCCCAGACTCACACTAGACCCCAAGAGCTGGTAGAATTGTCTCCTGAAGCTATATTAGTGGATGGGGACTATAGCTCACATGTCCACACACAGAGATCGGATATTTGCATGAACTTCCGACTGCTGTGCCTGTGCCAGTTTCTTCATCTTTCCATGGTCTCATTTCACATTTGTGATATAGGAAATGCTACCTGATGGACTGAGATTAAATGAGGAGATCACACAAGTAGCCTGGTGCTGCCCTCCCGGAGGCTGGGGGCCAGGGTCTCTATGGATGAGAGAGATGGGCCATGCACTGCAGTCCATGGCTCTTCCTCTGTCACTTGAGCTGCCTTTGAATGTGCGGATATAAAACCATTCACGGGACCCTCTGAACAAGAATCGGGAGAGTTTCTCAAACTGAAGAGGCCATGGTTTTACTCTGGATTAGGATGATTATCCGCAGAGGACCCCCACATTACTTCAATGCTGGTTGGTGCTGTGTGGATGGTAGAATGAATGAGACCAGTGTGAGGGTGAAAATGCCAAAGAGGCTAAAACCATTTGCAGAACTGAAAGCTTTAAGTGCCCTGACCCCTGTCAGAGGCCTCCAGGTGGCATTGATTCCCTCTCATCATTAATGTTTTTATATCTCTCTAGCTTTCCATTCCTCTCTGAAAGCAAGAAAAAAATATATTTTTTAAAGGCCTTGGGCTCTACGGGGTTAGAAATGGCTAGAAAAACATCATTGATGACAAAAGAATTAAAAAATGTCTTCTGCCCCTTTCATTAAGACAGAAGTGCTCCTAGACATGAAAAGCTTGAGTCTTTTAGAAAACGAAGGAATGACTGTGAAACCAAGAAAGGAACAGAAAGGGATAGGTGCCAGGAGAATGAGGTGAAGGAAGGGGGCTGGAGGGCTGAGGGAATTCTTAGAACATTGGGAGAAAGTGCAGAGCCCACAGGTAACTGATTCGGGTGTGAGGAAGTGGTAGCTCAGTAAAAATCTAGTGCCTTCCCCGTGTGGGTGTATGTGTGCAATTAAAGATGAGATGGATGGATTGATGGGTTAATTTCTTTTCTTTCTTTTTTTTATATATATTTTATTGATTTTGTACTTGTACAGAGAGGAAGGGAGAGAGATAGAGAGTCAGAAACACCGATGAGAGAGAGTCATCGATCAGCTGCCTCTTGCACACCCCCTACTGGGGATATGCCCGCAACCAAGGTACATGCCCTTGACCGGAATCAAACCCGGGACCTTTCAGTTCCCAAGCCGATGCTCTATCCATTGAGCCAAACCGATCCCGGCTGATGGGTTAATTTCTTAGTGGGCTTCCTATCTTGAGAGTCAATGGCAGCATCAAATGTGCCACCATCCTCGTTTCCCATCCCACCTCCCTCAGGGCAGGAGTCCCCACCCAAGCTAAGCAATGATTCAGTCTTCGTGGACTCTTAGATGATTTCCAAATGTCCATGCATCTGAAAGCATTCCAGGCCTTCTCATCTTCCTGTGTTTTAGTTAACCTTTAACCAGTTCAAAGGTTACTTCTTTTTTTTTAATTTCTTTATTGATTAAGGGATTATATATGTGTCCTTATCCCCACATTATCCTTCATCTCCCCCACTCATGCCCTCAGCTCCCTGTTGTCTGTGTCCATTGGTTAGGCCTATACGCTTGCATGTAAGTCCTTTTGTTGTTTCCTTCCGAAGGTCACTTCTTATGAAGCCTTCACCTCTTTCCTCAGACTGAATTAAGACCCCCAATTCTGTCATCCTTAAAGTGGTCTAATTAGTCAACCTGTCTAACAGAATGATAACCAGATATTTGCTGTCTCTCTCAGTACAATATGAGTTCCATAAGGATATAAGCACAACCCCTGTCAATCTTTTTTAAAAAAATATTTTATTGATTTTCCACAGAGAAGAAGGAAGAGGTATAGAGAGCTAGAAATGTCGATAAGAGAGAAACATTGACCAGCTGGCTCCTGCACACCCCCTGCCGGAGATGTGCCCGCAACCAATGTACATGCCCTTGGCCAGAATCGAACCTGGGACCTTTTAGTCTGCAGACCGATGCTCTATTCACTGAGCCAAACCGGTTTCGGTCAACCCCTGTCAATCTTTACATCCCTGTACCTGTTAGTGATGTCACATAATGGGTCAGTAAATATGGGGGCAACGTGCTGCCTGGGGAAAGTAGGTGCTGAGGGAGGTGTCTTTTTTGTTTGACAGGACTTTGTTTTTTTTTCTTTGTTTTAGAACCACCATCATAGTCCGCAGCCATTCTGTCAAATCCAAAGATCATCATATTGATCATTTCAGTCTTCTTCTGCATCTGCATTGTCATCCTGGTCCTTTGGAAATTAGACATTGTAGAAGGTGGGGAGTAGGCTGGCCTCTGGCTCTTGGGCAGGACATAGTCTGTTAAGGACTTGGGAGAGGTGAG